TATTTTTAGACAGGGTCTAAGTTGCTGAAGGTGTCCTTGAAATTGAGATTCTCCTGGCACAGCTTCTTGAGTCACTAAGATTACAGGTTTGTGCCACTTTGACCAATGCCCTCCCACTCTTTGCTTTATAGTATTAGGGATTGAACCCTGAGTCACTGGGATTACAGGAGTGCACCACCATACGTGGCCGAGACTGGGTAATTTATGATGAATGGTAGTCTATCATGGTTATGGAGGCTGGGAAATCCAAGAACAAGACATTGGTATATGCTTAGTATCTGCAAGGGCTTGCTGCTTCATCATAATATAGACATCATAGGACAAGTCAGAGCAAATGTGCTAGTTTTGGGTCTCTCTTCCTCTTCTTGTAAAGCCACCAATGCTATCATGGGCATCCTACTCTCATGACCTCATCTAATTTTTTTAAGTATTTATTTTTTTAGTTTTAGGTGGACACAATATATTTTATTTTTATGTGGTGTTGAGGATTGAATCCAGCGCCTTGCACATGTCAGGCAAGCGCAGTGCTGCTTGAGCCACATTCCCAGCCCCTCATCTAATTTTTCCCCATTTTTTTTTCGTGCGTTATAGTTGTACATAATGGTTGGATTTGTTGTTAGATATTCATAGGATATATAGACCTCATCTAATTACTGCCCAAAGGGCTCAGCTCTAAATACTATTAACATATGAATTTGGAGATTAAGTGTCCAACACATGAATTTGGGGGTAAATATATTCAAGACCATAGTACCTGATCTGTGGTAGTCTGTCATTGTAGCACAAACAAACTAACAGCAATGAAAGAGGAAAAAAATTGGTAAATAGACTTCATTAAAATCAAAAGTTAGTTCTTGGTTTGGTTTTGTGGTTTAGGCCTGTAATCTGAGACACTCCTGAGGCTGAGGCAGCAGGATCACAAATTTGAGGCCAGCCTTAGCAGCTTGGCAAGACCTTGTCTCAAAATAAAAAATGTAAAAAAGGGCTAGGCCGAGGCAAGAGGATAGCAAGTTCAAAGCCAGCCTCAGGAATTTAGCAAGGCCCTAGGTAATTTAGACCCTGTCTCAAGATAAGAAATAAAAAGGACTGGGGATGTGGTGCAGTGGTTAAGTGCCCCTGGGTTTATTTAATCCCTGGTACCAAAAAAATTAAATAAGTATATAAATAAGAAAAACAGCTGGGGATGTGGCTTAGTGGTTAATTAAGGACCTCTGGGTTCAATCCCTAATACCAAAATAACAAAACAAAAACAAAAACAGACTGAGGGAGGCAGGCATGGTAGCACATGCCTGTAATCCCAGCAGCTCAGGAGGCTGAGGCAGGAGGATCAAAGCCAGCCTTAGCAACTTAGTGAGGCGCCAAGCAATTCAGTGAGACCCTGTCTCTAAATAAAATACAAAAAAGGACTGGGGATGTGGCTTAGTGGTAGTGATTGAGTGCCCTTTAGTTCAATCCTCTGTACCAGGAAAATAAACAAACAAACAAACAAACAACAACAACAAAACCCCAAACAGACTGAGATATAGCTCAGGATTAGAATCCTTGGTACAGAATAATAATAATAAAAATGTTCTGCTAGGTGTGGTGGCACATGCCTGTAATTCCAGCTGCTTGGGAGGCTGAGGCTGGAGGATCACCAGCCTCAAAGCCAGTCTCATCAAGTGAGGTGCTAAGCAATTCAGTAAGACTCTAAATAAAATACAAAATAGGGCTGGGAATATGGCTCAGTAGTTGAGTGTCCCCATCTCCTGAGTTCAATCCCTAGTACAAAACAAAAGTGGGAGGGGTAGGGGTTGTAGCTCAGTAGTAGACCACTTGCCTGGCATGTGTGAGGCACTGGGTTAGATTCTCAGCACCACATATAAATAAATAAATAAAGGTTCATGGGCAACTAAAAAAATAAAAATTAAAAAAAAAAAGACATTTTTTGGCTCAGTGGTTGAGTGTTCCTGTGTCTAATCCTTGAAACAAAAACAAAACAAAACAAAGCAGCTCAACATCATTAGTCAATAACATATTTTGGTGAGGACGTGGAAAACCTGGAACACTTGGCAGGGTGTGGGGGCTCACACCTATATTTCCAAGTGCTTGGGAGGCTGAGGCAGGAGGATCACAAGTTCAAGGCCAGCTGGGGCAATTTAGGAAGACCATCTAAAATAGAAAATAAAAGGGGCTGGGAATGTAACTCAGTGGTAGAGTGTCCTTGGGGGTTTTATATGTGAGCATGGTGGCAAATACCTGTAATCCCAGTGGCTTCGGCTCAGGAGGAGGGTAGGAGGATCCCAAGTTCAAAGCCTCAGCAATTTACTGAGGCCCTAAGCAACTCAGGGAGGCCCTGTCTCTAAATACAGAAAATGGTTGGGGATGTGGCTCAATGGTTAATTCCCCCTGGGTTTAATCCCCAGTACCAAAACCAAAACATAACAAAAAACCCCCAGCTTTAAGTTTATGAAAAACATAACCACTGAGGCTGGGGATATAGCTCAGTTGGCTGAGTGCTTGCCTAGCATGCACAAGGCCCTTGGTTCAATCCCGAGCACCACAAAAAAAAAAAAAAAAAAAGGACATTTGCTGGGCGCAGTGGTACGTGCCTTTAATCCCAGTGGCTTGGGAGACTGAGGCAGGAGGATCGTGAATTCAAAGCCAGCCTCAGCAAAAGGAAGGAGGATGTGAAGTTCAAAGCAACCTCAGCAATTTACTGAGGCCCTAAGCAACTCCATCTATAAATAAAAATACAAAATAGAGCTGGGGATGTGGCTCAGTGGTTGAATGTCCCCGAGTTCAACCCCCCATACCCCCCCCCCAAAAAAAAATCCACTGAAATTAGCAACTATAGCCTGTTTGGTGGAGAGATTAAAGCCAGACTAGACTGGAGAGGGAAATGAATAGAGCTACATATATCATTATAGGTAAATCTTGGAAACAAAAGCCAATACTTGCAAAATCCTTGAAAGTTGCAGAACCTGGGCCTGAATTTGCAATCCCCCATTCTCATTTCAGCCTCTTGAGTAGCTGGGATCACTTACTACTATGCAAATTTATTAAAAGCATCACTTCATGCCCAGGAATTATAAATAACAGTTGATAGCTGGTATTCTTGAGAAAAATAACACTAAGGGCACATAGATCTTTATAATGACCAATTTCCTCATCCCCCCCCCCCAAAAAAAAAAAAAGCTAAGGTCAAGGTACTCAGGGTCTCAGGCATACTGAGCATGCACTTTACCCTTGAGTTCCATTCCCAGCCCTGCTTTTCAGCTGATTCAAGAAGTAATAAAGCCAGAAACCAGATGAGGTCTGTCTCCCATGGTGTCCTGTCTAACACTGGCTACCCTGACCCCTGCTTTCCCTGCTGCCCACCAAGGGCTTAATAAGGCTAGGTCAGTCCCACATGGGAGACAGGTTAGTCTTTGTCAGACTCAATCTGCTGATACATGACAGGGTTTGGACTGCTGTCCCTTGTTAAGGGCAGACTCTCTCTCGTTGCTATCCAGGCGTGTGCTGCCACCTGGACCTCCAGCTCCTCTGTCCATCTTCCCTGGAGAAGCCTGAGCCAAGTGTGACAAGCTTTTCAGCACTACCCCTGGGTTCAGCCAGTCACTTCCTCTCTCTACAGCAAACACCATCTCCACCATCTTAGCCTACAAGAACCAGCCTGAGGGGGCTGGGAGAAAAAAATTGACACAGTGAGCAAGGAACAGCTTCTAGCCAGAAACCCCTGCTCTGAGAGCCCATCTTTCCCATTGATGGCTTTCGGCTTGACCCTTCCTTCTCCCATGGGGGCAGAATTCTATGAGCCCAAATGACGGATCTTTCCCTCCGTTTTACATTGCTAATAATGGATGTTAATCTTGAATCCTTCAGCATCTTTTCCATTGAATTAGAATGGCTTTCTCATAGTTTATTTTAGAAAGATGTCCAATATACTAAAGAAAAATAATTGAAGAAATTAGTGAATGGTAGAAAAACTGGGCAATTAGTACCTCCAGATGGGAATAATACCATTAAACACTAGTAGCATTTTTGGCACAAGAATGAATTGAACAAGCTATTTCTCTTAAGTCTAAATTTCTTAGAATCATTCTGACAGTCCAACTCACTTTATTATTTTTGGGATTCCCATATAGGTCTACTTATAAAAACTTATGTATTTATAAGCAAATTCTTTTTACCTTCCAGTTTGCTCACAATAGTCTACCTTTGTGTGCTTAATGTTTGCTCTGTAGTCAAAATCCTCCCCTTCAGCTGGATGTTGTGGCACATGCCTATAATTTTGATATTTGGGAGGCTGAAGTAGAAGGATCTCCAGGTCAAGTCCTGCCTCAGCAATTTAGGCAGATACTCTCAAAAAGGGATTGGGATGGAGCTCAGTGATACAGCATCTTTAGGTTCAACTCTAAGTATTATCCCAGTATGATACGTGGGGTGGTGGTGGTGGATCTGCTAATGATTAACAACTGAGGAAGAAATTAGAAGTGAAAAACTTTCACAGTTAATTTGTCTTCTTTGAAGATGCAGGTCCTAATGGCATATTTTTTTTTTTTTTTTGTTATTACACTAGATGTGAAGCTGTTTTATACATCCACAATGCATGGGCTAGCCCTTCTAGAACTTATTTGAAATAGGGTCTTGCCAAATTAAATTGCCCAGGCTGAACTTGTGACACTCCCGCCTTAGCCTCCCAAGTTGCTGGAATTATAGATAGATGTGTACCACCATAACTTCTTACAAGAGGTAGAGAGTTTGAGATTTTAAGTAGGGAATTATGGCATGAAAAATTTTCACCTGAAGATGGTCTTAAAATTAATAAATTATGGGGATGTAGTTGTAGTTCAGTGGTAGAGCACTTGCTTAGCATGTGTGAACACTGGGTTCAATCCTCGATACCACATAAAAACAAATAAAGGTATTAAAAAATACAATAACATTACAAAATTAATAATTTACTAGAGCCTTTTTGGGCAGAGGAGATGGGGGAAAAGAGACCAAACACTCATTGATTCATCCAACAAGAAGCCATAACTTTATTAATGATAGAAACAGTACAAATTTCAAACCAAGCTGCAGTTATCCTTTTGAAACACCAGAAAAAGGTCCTGGCTTTCAGATGGTTACATTGTTAATTCCTATAAGAGAAAAAACATAAGGGGGTTACAGGCAAAGTAGGAGAAGATGGTTATTAAAACCTAAGGCAATTAACAATAGGATTTGGAATAATGCTTTATATATAGAAACAGAGAAAAATTACTTTTCACTGGTTAGGGCAGAGGGAAACCAGGAAAAAAGACTTGGTCACTTACCATTATAGCATTTACAATATCATTACTGTTGTTCTTTAGGGCTCGGACCGCCTTTGCTCTTGACACATTTGCTTGTGACATGACCAATTCTATATCCTTAACTTCCACACCAGTTTCATCAACCTAAAAGAGGAGAGGGGAAAACAAAAAAACCTTAATAAATTACAGATAACAACAACTTAGTACTTCTTTGGTGCCAGAGTCCCTTGAATTTAGTTCTGGGTGTAAACAGGTATAAATAATGGGGGTTGAATGCCTAAAACAATAATTTACCAACAGCAAACATACCACTATTCAGAGAGGATTACAAATAGAAAAGATTTCCTGGCATACCTCTTCCTCTTCACTTTCTTCTTGTACAGTTGGAGTCTGTGTGTTTTCTTGAATGTTTGAGACAGCTTCACCTTGAACTTTGAATTTCTCAGCAGCTGCTAACTGTGCTTGCTGAGATAAATCTTCAATCTACAAAGAAAGACAACAGAGATGTCAATAAATTAGTTTGCCATAAATGAAAAATCACATATCCTTTTGACACCTTTTCAATACTCTCATTCTAAATCTATTTCAGGGAAGTTAGAGTAATATAACTGTAAACTGCTTGCCCTAAGACTATAACTGTAGAAAGAAAAGTAGTTTAGGTCTAGGTCTTAATTATGCCTCCCAGGGGACATCTGGAAATGTCTAGATCAAAGAATTATCTGACCTGAAATATCAACAGAGTTGATAGAGTGCAACTCAAGAAAACTTAACTCACCTTGGCTTCCCCAAAAACTATGTAGGTATCTGAAGCTGGACTCTTATAGACATCTGGTTTTGTGATGACAAAGAGGATATTCTTAGATTTTCGGATAGTGACTCTAGTAACCCCCGTAACCTGTCGAAGACCTAGCTTGGACATAGCCTGAAAAATAGAAAAGAACATTAAAATTTCAACTTTAGAATCAGCTTCATAAAGCAAGAAATGCAACAATACCACATCCAAAGCAGACTCATGGGTTAAGAAAAGGGCAGGCGCCGTGGTGTGCACCAGTAATCCTAGTGGCTCAGGAGGCTGAGGCTGAGGCTCTAAGCAACTCCGTCTCTATTAATACAAAAAAGAGCTGGGGATATGGCTCAGTGGTTAAGTGTCCCTGGGTTCCAACCCAAGTTAAAAAAAAAAAAGATGGTGTTCTAAAAAATTACACATCAGAACTTTAATCCTTGTTTATAACTGAACATCTTACCTTCCGTGCCTTCTTTTCACTCCGACTCTGTTTTGCTTTACTGACTGGTTCTTCATCGATTTCAGCTGCAGCTGCCAGCTATAAAGATAAAACAACTAAATTAAATAGAACTCAAGATCTGGATACCACAACCTCTGTGTGATTTTCCCTTTATGAAGACCCATAATTCCAGATACAATAGTCAGCCCTGATCAATTCTGGTTCTCCAGTGCTTCCTTGACTCCAGTGTTTATACCAGTCAAGAAGGGAATACTCACCTGTGCTTGTTGGGTGGTTGCTTGTGTGGAATCTTGTTCTTCAAGCTCTGGTACAGATTCATCACTGTCAGATTCTGTTCCAGAACCTAAGATGACAAACAACTTTTATTACTTTTATAGTAAAAATTTTAAGGAGGTTGTACCTCACACTAAGGCCTGCTTGGACTAGAGGTCACCACTTTAATGCTAGGCCTTACAAAGTGAAATGTTTAAAGCCAGTTTGGGAGCCAACTTACTAGTTAAACTACTGTGTACACATCTATTAAAGACCCACCCCCAGAAATGAGGGATAATTGAAAGATACAATTTATATAGTATAATTATTCTCTTTCTCTTAAGGTCTTCATTTCTTGGCACAAACAACCAAGCATCCTAAATAACTCCAAATTTTACCCTATATTCCATCTACCATCCACCCCAGAAAGGTTTTGTCTAAAGGGATCTCCACACACACTTAAGTGGGGGGAAAAGAATAAAAAATAAATAAATCACATTATGCAGGGAGAAAAGGCAAGGCACTTTTCCTTTATCCTTTAAACCTATGGAGGAGGCCAGAAGCAGCTGTGTACACACATTTGGCCTATTTTCAAATCATTCACCCTAGTAATTTGGTCTAATCAATATTGCTAGAAGATTTTCAATGATGCCAAGCCACCTTCTCTACTAGATACTGCCTTGTAATGTCTCCATTTCTTCTGAACATAATTCACATATTGAAAGGCCCAGCATCGATAGGGCAAGTGGTCATTACTAAGAAATAAAAAGAAATACAATAGCTCCAAATTTCCCAATATTTTAGCAAATCCCAGGCCCAGGGACAGGTTAGTGATGTGATAAGGATTAGAGCAAATTAACGGTCCAGCAGGTCTTGGTTTCCAATGTCAGATCAGTTGTATTATCTGACGTGATGAAAACCAAGAATTAGTTGTGTATTCCTAGAGCTTTTGCACTTGAAAGGATCATTCTAAGTACTACATCCAAACTCAAGCAGATTTACTGGAGGAAGTGGCGCATCCTAGTGTTAGTATCGATGGGAGTTCCTAAGAGGGGTGTGGGCAACACACCATGCACACAGCAAACCAAGGCAAATACCCTTGTTGTTCTTCAGAACAGGTTGCTTGGCAGAGGGGGTTGGGGCAGGGATCCCAGCAGGTTTGGGGGTGGGCATGTCCACAAGGATGGACTGGAAAGGCACTCCCCCAGATATTGGTTCCGGGGGAATCAGAGGCGGCAGCTCATCCTCATCATCAGGGGCTGGGGGCTTAGAGGGTGATTCCAGCACCAGCCCAGGTGAGGTCGGCAGAAACTGTTGTTTAGGAAGCAGAGGGGGAACTGGGGAAGGAGCAAGAGGCAGGGAGACTGGTGGGGTGGTTGCTGGAGACACAGATGTTGATCCAGCTATAGGAAGGACCTTCTCAGAGGCAACTCCTGCTAGAGGGGTAGATATCTTAGACTCAGGGGAATGAAAAGGATCTTTGCTTTTTGCAGGAGAAACAGGGATTGTCAGTAGAGGAGCTGGTGTCACTGTAGAAAGGGGTCCTTTAGTATCATTCTTATTTGAGGGATCTGAGCACTTAGGCAAAGCTGCAGAATTCTTCTTGGTTCCTGGGCCTTTCTGAGTGGGAACTGTGGTGACTTGTTCATTTTCTGGAGCTGAGGCCACAAGTACTTCTTTGAGAGCCTTGGGACCTTTCTTTGCTGGGACACCTTCAGATGCCTCAGGGGTAACGGCCCCCATGGTACATATTACTGACACTGGGGAAGCAGGGGAGCCTTTGGGGGAGGGAGGAACAATGCCTGGGAGAATGGGGGACTCTTTAGGGAAAACATTCACAGCTTGCAGAGTGGGACTGCCTTTGGAGGATGGGGTAGCTAGGGCCTCTTTGGGAGAGGGAGAAGTGACAGGTGTGGGAATAGAGGCCCCTTTGGGGGCTGGGGCCTTTTTAGGAGGGGGAATAGTGTCTGGAGGAGTGGGAGTTCCTTTGGGGGCTGTGGTTGCTGGGCCCTTTTTGGGAGAGGAGATTGCTGTAGCCTCTTTGGGGGCTGCAGTTGCTGGGGCCTTTTTGGAAGAGGGAGGAGTGTCCACTGGAGGAGTGGGGACCCCTTTAAGGGATGAGGTTGTTTGGGCATCTTTGGGGGCTGTACTTGCTGGGGGTTTTCTGGGAGAGGGAGGAGTCACAACAGGAGTAATAGAGGCCTCTTTGGGTGCTGTAGTTGCTGTGGCTTTTTTGGGAGAGGGGGCCCCCTTGGAGAATGGGGTTGCAGGGGCCTCTTTGGGTGCTGCAGTTGCTGGGGCCTTTTTGGGAGAGGGAGGAGTGTCAGCTAGAGGAGTGGGGGCCCCTTTTGGGGATGGAATTTGTGACTTTTTTGGAGGAGTCATAGCTGGGGTGGTGGGGAGCCCTTTGAGTAATGGGATTGCTGAAGCCTCTTTGGGGGAAGAAGTCACAACTGTGGGAGCCAGAACCCCTTTGGTGGATGGGGTTACTGTAGCCTCTTTGGGGGCTTTACTTGTCGGAGCCTTTTTTGGGGAGGGAAGAGTCTCAGCTGGGGACCCTTTGGGGGATGAGGTTGTTGGTAACTTTTTGGAGGGACTTGGTGCCTTTTTTGTTGTGGGAGTCACAGCTGAGGAAGTGGGGACCTCTTTGGGGACTGTATTTGCTGGGCCAATTTTGGGAGAGGGAGGAGTCTCAGCTGGGGCCCCTTTGGGGGATGGAGTTGTTGGGGAGGGTTGAGTCACAGTTGGGGGAGTAGGGACCTCTTTGGGAGAGGGAGGAGTCACAGCTGGGGGAGTGGGGGCCCCTTTGGGGGACAGAGTTACTGTAGTCTCTTTGGGAGAAGGAGGAATCTCATCTGGGGTCCCTTTGGAGGCTGTATTTGCTGGGGCCTTTTTGGGAGAGGGAGGCATCACAGCTGGGGGAGTGCAGATCCCTTTGGGGGATGGAGCTGCTGATGCCTTTTGTGGGGAGAGGGGAGTCACAGTTGGAGGGCTGGGAACCTCTTTTGGGGCTATATTTGCTGGGGCCTTTTTGGGAGAGGGAGGAGTCACAGCTGGTGGAATGGAGACCCCTTTGGGGGCTGTACTTGTTGGGACTTTTTTGGGAGAGGTAGGAATCACAGCTGGGGAAGTGGGGGCCCCTTTGGGGGATGGAACTGCTGGTGCCTTTTTGGGAGAGGTGGGAGTCACAGCTGTGGGACTGGGGACCTCAGTGGGAGATATATTTGCTGGGGCCTTTTTGGGAGAGGGAGGAGTCCCAGCTGGGGGAATGGGGACCACTTTGGGGGACAGAGTTGTTGGTGCTTTTTTTGAGGAGAGAGTCCCAGCTGGAGGAGTGGGGACCCCTTTGGGGGATGGGGTTACTGTGACCTCTTTAGGGGTTGTACTCGTGGGGGCCTTTTTGGGAGAGGGAGGAGGAGTCACAGCTGGGGAAGTGGGGACCCCTTTGGGGGATGGGGTTACTGTGGCCTCTTTAGGGGCTGTATTTGTTGAGGCCTTTTTGGGAGAGGGAGGAGGAGTCACAGCTGGGGGAGTGAGGACCTCTTTGGGGGATGGGGTTACTGTTGCCTCTTTAGGGGATGGAATTGTTGGGGTCTTTTGGGTGGAAGAAGGAGTCTCTTCTGGGGTCCCTTTGGTGGATGAAATTGTTGGTGCCTTTTTTGGGGAGAGAGGAGTTACAGGTGGGGGAGTGGAGACTCCTTTGGGGGATAGGGTCTTTTTTTTGTGGTGAGGAGCCACAGCTGGGGCAGTGGGGGCCTCAATGGGAGAGGGAGCATCAGCTAGCAGGGCAGGGGACCCTTTGGAAGATGGAGCTGGTGTACTTTTTGGGGAAAGAGTAACAGCTGGGACAGTTGTTGCTACCTTTTTTGGGGAGGAGGGAGGAGTCTTAGCTGGGACAGTGGGGACCCCACTAGGGGCTATGGTTACTGGGTCCTTTTGGGGGGAGGTAGGAATCTCAGCTGAGGTACTGGAAGTTTCTTTGAGGGATGGGCTTGCTGTGGTGGCTTCTTTGGGGGCTGTAGCTGTTGGAGACTTTTTTGGGGAAGGAGGAATCTCAGCTGGGGGGTTGGGGGTTCCCTTGGTGTTTGTAGCTGCTGGGGCCTTTTTGGAGGAGGTAGGAGCCACAGTTGGGGCAGTGGGGGTCCCTTTGGGAGATGGGCTTGCTGGGGTCTTTTGGACTGAGGAAGGAGTGACAACTGGCAGATTGGGAACTCCTTTCGGGGCCAGAGTTGCTTGTGGCTTTTTGGGAGAGGGAGAAGTCTCTGCTGGGGGAGTAGGAGTCCTTTTGGGGGATGGGTCTGCTGGGGCCTTTTTGGGGGAGGGAAGAGGCACAGTTGTAGGAGTAGAGGCCCCTTTGGGAGTGGGAGAATGCTTCTTGGTTAGTGAACCTTTAGGGCCTTGAATAGATATATTGGCCTCTGGAAGGAAGGAAGCTTCAACTGGAGAAACAGAAGATGAGAGATTTCCAGCAGGAACATCAGGGATAGGAGAATCCTTCTTGATTAGAGTTCTTTTAGTCTGAGGAGACATACCAGTCCCTAAAGGAGATGCGGAGTCAGTTATAGAAGTCATGCTTCCTTTGGAAGATGTAGAATCACTGGGGTCCTCATTTGGGCACACAGGAGAGGAAACTAAAGGTGCCAATGATGAGGTCTGAGAAATACCATCAACTATCTCTGCCCTGGACAGAGCAATCCCAGCTGGGGGAAGGGGGGGAGAGGGCACAGACTTAGGAATTTCAGGAGTCAGCGTCAATGCTACTGTAGAAACAGAAACATTCTGAGGGGATAAAGTCATAGCTGGAGCCACAGGGCAACTTTCAGAGGCTGGAGAAACCAAAGGTAAAGTAGTTAGAGTACAAGTATCTTTGGCAGTTGTAGAAGCCACCCCCATATGGCCAGCACTTCCCAAAGGAAACGTAGCCACTGCTGGAGCAGTGATAGAACTTTTGAGAAGCAGAATATCAGGGTCTGGGCTTGTATAAGGATCTGTCTTGACTACAGAGGTCGAGGAGTTAACATCCAGAGAAGAGGCAATAGCACTGGCTGCCTTAGCTACAGGGAGAGGCTCTACACAGCTTTTCTTTGCTATAGTGGTTTCAGGAGAAATTATCTCCAAAGATGATGTACTTTGGGAGGAATTCTGGGGAGATGAGAAGGCCAAAGGTAATGAAGTGGGGCCTTCCTTGGTAGGGAGTCCTGTCTGGGTGGGAGATATAGGAGCTGGCAAAGGACAGACTGGTATGCTCACAGTAGTTGCTATCTGAGAAGTAAGAAGCTCTTTCTGAGCCACAGGTGACATAACCAAAGCAGCAAGGGAAGCTGGTTCTTTACTACTTATGGGATCTGATGAAACTGGAGGAGGCACAGAAGTAGGTACCTCAAAGGTAGTAGGTGCTGCAGAAATCATAGAGGGGTTAGTCATCAGAAGTGGGGTGGTTCCAACAGAAGAGACAGAAGTTTCTTTAAAGTCTGTTCCTGGAGAAGCAAGAATTTGAGTCCCCAGAGGCTGATGAGTGGCATTAGGAGACTCTTTAAGACCGAGCAAGGCTGTAGGAGATAATGAAGTAGCGGTAGTTACAATTGGGGAGCCAGAAGGGTAGGAGGTTATGCCAGTCACTGTAGAGGGGCCTTTGTCAACAGACAGAGTCAGAGAAGAAGCTGGAGACCTTATTGGAAGAGCAGCCACAGTACCAGTAACCAGCTCATTTCCCAAAGGAAGGGGAGAAATCACAGATCTCTGAGATGGATAAGAGGTCCCCAAGGAAGAATGATCTACAGAAATGGTATTCACTGCAGGATTTAACAGTGTACTAGGAACTGCTTGACCTAAAGGTTGGATAGAAGAACCCTGATGTAAAGGTGTAAGATGAGAGCCCAGAGAACTAGGGAAAACTGGTGGGATGCTAGGAGCCACAGTTTGAGAAGAGGTCACTGCAGGAGTAGACTGGGTTGAAAAAGATAAGGTAGAAGGTGAACTAACAGGCCCCTTCAGGCTGAAGCTTAATGGGTTTTGTGGGATCAGAGCTGAGGAAATGGGGATACTTTTACTCTGAGAAGTAATGGCTGGGGGAGTAATGCATGGTGTCAGAGCACAGGAGGTTACTCCAGATTGAACAGAGGCCAAGGGATTTCCAACATGGGAAGGAACAGCACTGATTATACCTGGAGGAGCTGAACTTGGAGTAGTAGCTTTTGGATTAGGGAGTACCTGAGAGGGAACCTGAATAGGAGAGGGTTTTGGTTCTGAGGGAGTAATGGGAGCTGGTAGAGATGTCACTGACCCTGACTCAGCCATAGCAACTGATGGAGGTGGGGCAACAGGGTTAGGTGGAAAAGCAGAACTCTTCTGAACTGAGTGGGGAGCCAATGCAACAAGGGCCAAGGGAGCTGAAGAGGAATGGGCACCTTTCAGAGTTGGCCCTATCATGGGAGAGGCCAGAGCTAAGGCAGCTGGGGAGATGGGAGGCCCTATTAGGTGCGGTAGGAAAGTTGGGGTGTTAGGGAGAGTTTCCAAAGGCATGGCAGTTCCAGAGGATGGCTGGGGAAAAGGAGCTTCAAAAAGGGTTGAAGCAATACTAGAGGGAGAAGGAAAAGGGGAAGGCTGGTTAGCAACTGCTAGAGGGCACTGTTGGGGGGCCAGGGAGCAAGGAGGGGTAAGGGTAGGTCTAGACTGCCCTAAGGCAGCAGTGACATTCAAGGGTGAAGGCATAGGAAGCACAGCTGGAGGAGAAAAGCAAAAAAAAAAAAAAAAAAAAGAGATAAAGGAGGAAAAGAAAAAAAAAGTGAGTTATGCAGCCCAATTTGGTACAACATGCCTCATAAGAAAAAATGGAATTTTAAATCTGAGAATGAAAGTCACCACACAGGATTAGACAACAGTGACAAGCAACACCCAAAGTTCCCCAAACATTTCAGTGGTAAAGTGAGAACACATTCTTCTACACATTCTAAGTTCTACCAAAATAAACCAAAAATTTCAGGATGGGGAAAATAGTTAAAAGTAGCCTATCGTTAAACACAAAGAACAGAGGCTCAGGAATGGATTGGGAACAATATACTTTCTATCCTTTCCCAGTTGTGCCTTTCCCTTTTCTCCTGAAATGAGACCTCATTTCCAAGTCTTTAAGCCAAAAAGAATTATCACTAGAACAGCTACCTGTCTACTCAAGGATCGTGAACTGAAACACTGAAAACTGGAATAAGGATGACAATAGGCAGACAGTTTAATGATGGGGAATCAGCTGAATGAGAAAAAGTCTTAACAAACAAACAGACAACAACAACAAAAAACCCTCTAAAGTTTCCACTAGGCCATGAAAAATATCACTGTTTTCTTAGGAAGAGGGAGCTTCGCATAATTCAGTTCTATTGAAGTTGAAACTCTTCAGCCCCTTATCCCCTTATGTCTTAGTTTACTTAGCAAAACCAGAAAGAAAGCAAACAAAAACACCCAGCCACAAATAGGTTGCACTTCATATTCTACCCTTCCTCAGTAATGTTAGGCTCTTTAGACATCATTACAAGATGAACTAGACCTTCAGGGAGACAGCTTAGTCACTAGGGTAGGGACTGTATTATGAAATTCTAACCCAACTTGTTAAACCAGACTGTGGTTCTATTTTGGAAGGAGAGCTGTAGAGTGAAAATAATATAAATATAACAGACCCTAACTCTTGATCTGAGTAAGTATTTTTATTCTGTCTGGTCTATTTTGTCAAAATACACCAATATTTGACACTATGGTAAAACTAAGTGAGAGGTTTTCTAGAGGGGACAAAAATACCATATATGTAATTTAGATAATAACATCAAATTAGATCAACAAATGCTCAATGCCCAAAAGGGATTGTTAAAGGGGGCAGGGAGAGGTTGGGCGCGGTGGCGCATACCTGTAATCCCATGGCTTGGGAGGCTGAGACAGCAGGATCATGAGTTCAAAGCCAGCCTCAGCAATGGAGAGGCGCTAAGCAACTCAGTGAGACTCTGTCTCTAAATAAATACAAAATAGGGCAGGGGACATGGCTCAGTGGTTAAGTGCTCAGGAATTCAATCTCCAGTACCTGCCCCAAAGGGGGGAGGGCAGTCCATAGCATCCAAATTCAGAACTCAACCAAATAATCTTCTTAGTTCTTATAGTATCTGACTATATAAAGTCAAGTGGCTCAGGAGAATTGGTAATCAAAGTCTTATGATTACAGTACATATACTTTCAAACACATTAACAAGAATTTAAAACATGGAATATATTTTCTTCTTACTGGATCTCAAAATGGGATAAGACCCAAATAACTTGCTTTGCCGTCATAACCAATTTCCTGCGTTAGCTTTTTCATTTATTCTAATAGACTACTTAATTACAGTTACAGATGAAATTCTGGTAATTTATCACAGGTACTCAATATTATACACTTTCTGTACTCAGACTAATCAGAATGTTTAGCAGCACTAAGGATTATTTCAGAAATCAAGTTCTGTAGTTTGGAATTAGATTATTCTAATTTTATCCAAATTTCAGTCTCCATATTTGAAAAATTAAGTGGTACAATGAGACTGAGATAATGTCTAAAAGTCTTGTTTAGCGCTGAAACCACAGAATCTTTAGAGACCAGTCTTTCATCATCCCATTTCATAAATTTCTTGTAGCTAAAGCATTTCCTATTGCTCATTCCCTACTGAGGGCCCCCCTCCTTATTCTTCTCTAGCAGCTGTATTAATCCCTTCAGCTGCTAAAATCAGACAGGTGGGGAGAAAGAACCACAATGTTTTCAACTGTAAACAACTTTAACTCCAAAAAAGGTGAAAGAAATCGCCCTTGAAATTTACAAAAAACACAGGATAGAGATTATAACCTTAAGATTCCCTTCATTTAGTTCGCACAACTGACCCAGCAACACTATCATTTTACATCTTTCCATTGCCTCAGTTTTCTAGAGATGTGTTTCAACCGGAATTAAAAACTTGCCTTCACACAAGATTTTACACCTATTAATTTCAATGGTGAAGATCAAAGGGAGCATTTATTTCAATGCTGGGTTCCAGACAATGGCCCAAGCATTCAACAAATATCTCAGCATCAACCCATAAAACAAGTTAAACCAACCTAGGACTCTGGGGCTCATAGGACACATTTACCACCAGCAAATACCTCATCAGACATGTGATAAAGGCACAATGCCAAGCTCTGCTATCTAAAACCTTGATGCAACTTGCTGGCTGGGACTTCACAAAAGCTCAGGTCTCCTTGGGCGGCCTGTGTGTCATCCAGTTCTAATAGTAAGAATCACTGATCCCCCTCCCCACTCAATCTTCCCAGGAGGTGGCAGTTGCCACAAATCTTGATACAATTTGTATTCCTGCTCCCTAAATAAGTCCCTCCAGAATAACAAGTTCTCCTTTCTGGTAAAGCTACAAAACCATCGTAGCAAATTAGGTAGAGATATACTCTTCTTTGTCACTTTACTCACCAAATGGTGTTAAGAGTCTATCTTAATTAACAGCAACGAAACTATAGGAACCTACCTGTCTCAGCTTGGGGCTGTGGCAACTCCTGCTCTGTAGCAGGGACGGTTTCTGTGGCTTCACCGGGCATTTCTGAAGGAAGGGAATAAAAAGGAGGCCTGAATTGACAGGGGTGCACTTGCCCAACTCAGAATCAACTATTAATAACTCAACGGAGGGTTGTTAAATGGGGGAAAAAAATCATGAAAATGTCTGAGGACCACCCTTCCCAAAGTTACTAAGAATAGGTGGGAAAAGTGACCCTCAGATATCTATAAAGCGAATCACCTGAGTACGCTCCGCAGAAAGCAGACTTCCCAGTGCTCAGGGTTCGTTGTATTCCACACTCTTGATCCCACAAGACCAGGAATCACCTTTGCATTCTCAACCCGAGAGAGAGGATCCGGTCTGACTCCCAACCGTTTAAAACCTCTGACGTACTTTGAGCCCCCTCCCCTTTTAACATTTACGCTACCTGGGCTCGGGTCCCCCAGGTCTTCTGAGAGACGGGAGACGAAAGAGGACGCCTCGGGTCCCAACACTCCTCTTCTCACAATAAGAACGGTGTTTAGGGTTCTGAGGCTGTGACCCCTTAACCTCCTCTGGATTTCTGCGAAGCCGTTCCCAAAGACACACTCAGCTTTTGCCCCCAAGACTACAGTGACTCTTATATTCCCTCCATACCCGGGTTCTGGGCCTGGCCCGTAGGACCCTTATGCCCCTTTTTTGCCAGGACATCAACTACAGACCCCCCTTTTCTCCGGAGACCCAGCGACTAGTAGGAACCCTGTAACTGTACAAAGACGTCAACTCTCCTCAACTCTGAATCCCCCGGGCGGTTCAACCCGCGAGAAACGAGGATGGCGGTGGATGGAGTAGCGGCGCAGACAGCACTTACTGTGCGGAGAACGCGAGACCAAGATGGCGGCAGAAAGAGAGCGAGCAAGAGCGTGACCCACGCCTGTTGCAGAAGGAAGCCTGGCGCGGAGGGGGCGGGGCCACGATCCGATTCCGGGTCAGGAGCTGTTGGAAGCCACTTCCTTTATCCAATGACCCTGAGGGCTGTTTCTAGGGCGGGGGTGGTGATGAGTTCTAAATAAGGGTAAGAATTTAGAACCCGACACACTGGCCTGGCTGGAGCCGTCCTCGTGGAGCGAGGCAGCCCTCAAACATCCCGCCCCTTCCTTTCCAGCGAGCGTGTTTGCTTCCCGAAGGGAAACCATAGAGAAGCTCCGCCTACGGGTCCGCAAAGTAGCAACAGCTGTTTTTTAAGATTTCCCCTACTCAGAAGCAGGGAAACGCGACATTAATTAATAGCGAACTCCAGAGATTGTATTGTCACCATTGTAAAGTAGACATAACATAAGTTAAATCTCAATTATTTTATTTTTAAAATAGACGATTTGGGACGATGTTGACGTCAGATTCCTCTCCCCGGCGCAGCGGGGATTATAGGCACATACACAATTCTTTTTGCTTTTTTGGGGGCACTTCTTAAATCTGAAACTCGTCCATTCTAAGGGCCCGGGATCCCTTGTTAAGAATCCGTGCTCTGTACAGGGATCTTGAGAAGTAGAATGTAAAATCAGTGTTTTGTTAATGAAAAGGTTACTTAACTCCATACTATTTTCTAAGCTCTAAAAAAGGACAAACCAAACACAAACCTGAATTATCCAAATCAGCTAACCCTATTTGGTATAATGGTTGAAGACGATTATGGCTGACTTTTAAGAGAAGCAGTGAGAATTTAAAATGGGGGAAGAGGGAGCGGGCGACCACTTTTCCTTCTGAGCTGAGTTGTGCACACCTGTAATCCCAGCGAGGCAGGAGAATCAGAAAAAACTGGAGGCCAGCATGGGCAAATTGAGAGACCCTGTCTCAAAATAGGATTAGAATGTGGTTCGGTGGTAGAGCGCCCCTAGGTTCAATCTGAGATTATTGGGCACAGCGGCACAAAAACCAAGGGGGAAAACAAAAGTCGTGTATATGCTTATAATCTCCCCACTCCCAGGAACCTAATTTCAACATCGTCCTGAAAATAGTTGGGATTTAACCTAAATCATTTCTACTTTTCAATGGTGTAATCCCAGTGTTTGGGGAGCCTAAACCAGGAAGATGGCAAATTCTAGGCTAGACTCGGCAATTTAGTGAAACCCTGTCTCAAAAAATAAAAAGGAAAAAAAAAATTAAAACAAAAAAATAAAGGAAATAAAAAAATAATAAAAAGGGCTGGGGCCGTAGCTCAGTGGTAAAGCATCCCTGGGTCTAGTAGCCCACCCCAAACCTCTACTATAGTGAAGTGAGGATTAGGATTAGTGGACCAGAATTAACCCAGATAGCAGAATTGACCAGGAACAATTTGGAAATTCTCAGGAGAGGCTATTGTGGACTGATTAGAACAGACTCAGATTTTCAGTGTAGTCCACTTACCTTCAGAAAAAAAGCGAAAAACTGGCCAATTATCTCCTTAGACAAAACTACATATTGAAGACAAAAAAAAAAAAAAAAAAAAAGCATCTAGTATGTGAGTAGATGGGAATAAACTGCTATTTTTTTTTTCCCCTCTCTCCATGAAAATGCCATTATTTAGCTGGTTGTGGTGGTGCATCTTTGGGAGGCTGAGACAGGAGGATCATGAGTTCAAAGCCAGCCTCAGCAATGGTGAAGTGCTAAGCAACTCAGTGAGACCTTGTTTCTAAAAAAAAAAAAAGAACAAAACCCCAAACTACATATTGACCATTGCCCTGTTTTCCTTAGCAAGCCCATGGACTTAACAAAAAACTCTATGTCCTAATGAATAGCTAAGGAAGGATGTACTTTTTCTTTGGGTTTCTTTATAAACTGGAAAGTTTTAAAGATTTTAGATGCTGTTTCTGTGCCTTTGGTTTCTACACTTCTATCAGTGGATTGGCAAATCAGGGAGAAATGAAGTCAGTAGACTTTGATCATGTTTCTGTTCTCTTCATGAACCAAACATTTACTTTTTTTTTTTTTTTTAGAGAGAGAGAGAGAGGGAGAGAATTTTTTTTTTTAAATATTTATTTTTTAGTTTTTGGCGGACACAACATCTTTGTTTGTATGTGGTGCTGAGGATCGAGCCATATCCCCAGCCCTGTAGTTAATAATTTTAATGGGCTAGTATGTCAGCTTTATCCCAGGGCTTTAATATTAAAGCATTAAAATACTTTACTGAAGATAAAACCATAATGGAAGCTTAACATGTCTCTAATTGAAAGCACAATACTGTCTTTCTACTTTTTTCTTTTCTTGTACTGGGGATTGAACCCCCAGGCACTTTACCACTGAGCCATGTACTCAGCTCCTTTTTATTTTGTGACAGGGTCTCCTGAAGTTGTTGAGGCTGGTCTTGAATTTGTCATTCTCATGCCTTATTCTCCCCATTAGCTGGGATTTTGGATATGTGCACTGTGCTCACTGTATCCAAGAATTTTGACTGGCTAGTTTTAGAATTTGAAGACTGAATGATCCATAATGCACAGCTCAAACAATGAGGAATTTTGCACAATATTCTTTTTAATATTTAAAAAAGTAAATATTAAAAAATATAAATATTAAAAATATAAAAAGAGAGGAAGAAATACAAAGAATTTTGGTTGATTCCACTATAGTCTGTTTTATATAAATCAAAAGAAAAAAAAAAGATTGTATGACTGACTATACAGGAAACAATGTTAAATGAAATGTAAGGAAATTTTCATGACATCATAGAAGCACTAGCTTGACAGTTTGCTTCTTAATATTTCTTAGAAGACAGAATCCTACTGTGTAGGATTCCTTGTAAAACCAAGAGAAATCTGATACTTTAGAAGCCACCACATAATACCTGAAACAAAACTTAAAATTTAATTACCTAGATATGTAAAAAGTCCAAGTGCTTTAACAATTACAACAGGTTTTATTTATTTATTTGGTACTAAGGATTGAACCTAGGAGCGCTTACCCACTAAGCCACAATAACAGCCCACTAAACTTTTTTTTTTTTAAATATTTATGTTTTAGTTGTAGTTGGATACAATACTTTATTTATTTTTTTATGTGGTGCTGAAGATTAAACCCAGGGCCTCATTCGTGCTAGGCGAGCTTTCTAACGCTGAGCCACAGCCCCAGCCCTAAACTTGTTCTTTATGGTAGACTAATTCAGTTGCTCTCTGAGGGAAAAAGTAGGAGCTACAATTCCCAATAGTTGCACAAAATACTATACTTGGCCCTAATAATTTTCATCTAATAACTCCTATCTTTGGAACTGAAGTTTTGGTAGGTTTAAATGCCCAGTTTAAAATAATTTTTAAAAAGACAGGCAATATCAATATAAATAAACAAAATTAGAAAGTGATTGAATATATACTCTAGGTATAATTAACAAGTGTCCAAGACTTAAGGACAAAGCTGTCATTTACCCCATAATATAGAGGCAATATCCAGTGAGATGAAATGGAAGTATATTACTGTTCACTTACCTCTCTATATGCCAACTGGTAGAACTATTTGTGTCAGAAGCTTTGGAATTATCTTTCTATAATATTAAATTTCACAAAAATTATCTGCATTTCACTTATTAATTGCTTTAAGTTCCTTTCACAAACTTTAACAGGAGTCTTTTTAGTGGCCTCAGGGAATCTTTTCAACATAAATTATTTCTCAAGAAAAGGAAATTCTGCTGTAAGCATTAAGACACATACATGGTTCTGCCATATTTATTAAATGACTCTTCAAGTATTTGATTCTTGCTTGCAGGTAGACCATTTGTTTGAGGGGAGATGTTATCTTCAGAAAGCTTTTTGTAAATCTAAAATAGAATAGATTTTTATCAGAGGATATAAAGGAAAATAAAACCCATTTATTTTCACATTCTGATTTTCTTCATGCTTCCATTAAATTCACATCATGGATAAAGATTTGTTTTCACATTTGCTGAAGTCCACATTACAAGCTGAACCAGTATGGAATGAGAATCTAAAGGGTTTATTAGAAGGCCAGATGGAATGGCACTTCAACAAGGCTTTTTCAAGTACGGTCATCACTGTTCATTCAACAAGCACATATTTGAATATCTACTATGAGTAAAACATTATCTTAGGCACTTCTTAATTAAACCAATACACATTTTATTAAATACTGATGTGGAGACTAACGGTGTGGCTTAGTGGTAGAGCATTAGCCTAGCCCTCAGTACCTGCACACTCCCCCCCCCCCAAAAAAAAAATGAATTGGAGGAGTTTATATTTGTTCTCCTGAATGGTCACTCTGCTTTTCTTCCTTTTGGCTTACACACTGTGAGGTCTCTCCTGTTCAAGGAACTCCTCATTTAATACTACTATCCTCTTTGTACCTTCTTCTAGTTACTATGTCCAACAGAATTTTATCAGTACCTTAATCATTAGATAACTTGATAATTTCCTTGAAATTTTCCCCCTGACTTCTGTGACACTTCCATCTTTCATCTTTCTACTTCCAAGTCTCAAGGATGGTTAAAGTTTTTGACTTTTTTGAGAACTTTCATAAATGCCAATAGCCTACCTGGCCTCCTTAGACTCTATTTTATTCCTGATCATCTGCCCAGATTTACTCTTGTAGCTAGAACTACAAATCATGGAATTCCCTTCTCAGAAGCCTTTGATAACTTTCCTGTTTCTATTTGTAAGCCCAAATTCCTAAGTCTGAAATTCAAAACTGTTTATGCTTTGGCTTGAGCCTGTCTTCAGATTTATATCCCTTTCCTAACACTTTTTTTTTTTTTCCTGCCAGATTAGCTGTGCTATGCTTTGCTACCTCTGCCTGTGCTTTTGCTGCTACTTCAAGAATTAACAACCCTGGGCCAGGCATAGTGGTACATGTCTGTAAATCCAGCTATTCAGGAAGCTGAGGTAGGAGTTACAAATTTGAGGCCAGCCTGGGCAATTGGTAAGACCCTGTCTCAAAATCAAACAAAAGGGGTTGGGCACATAGCCATAGGTACTTGGCAAAGCACCCTCTGGTTCAATCCCCAGTACATTAAAAAGAAAGGGAAAAAAACCAAAACTCTGGGCTGAGGAATGTAGTTCAGTGTTAAGA